TGGCCTTTAACTTTAAGCCGGCCTGATGCAATCTCTGAAAAACATGTTGTAGGTTTTCAAGCATATCATCAAATGATTTGCCTACAACAATAATGTCATCAAGGTATACTAAACACTTATCCCATTGGAGTCCTGCAAGAACGGTTTCCATAAGTCTCTCAAACGTCGCAGGCGCACAGCATAAGCCAAAGGGCATAACCTTGAATTGGAATAAACCTTGTCGTGTCACAAATGCAGTCTTCGGCTTGTCGCTCTCCTCCATACTAACCTGCCAGTAACCACTGTTCAGATCAAGCGTAGAAAACATCTCGTGTCCTGATAAGTGGTCAAAAGCCTCATCAATTTTTGGAAGAGGATAAGCGTCCTTTGTGGTCACCTCATTTAATCGACGGTAGTCTACACAAAAGCGCATTGTGCCGTCTTTCTTGCGTACAAGAACTACTGGCGATGCCCAGGGACTGTTTGAAGGTTCTATTACATCCTTTTCGAGCATTTCCTTAACCTGTGCATCTACCTCATGAGTTAGATGAATCGGAATTCGCCTAAGACCTTGCTTGATAGGTTGTTTAGCCTGCTCCGTGTTTATCTTGTGGCGCACCACATTGGTCTGTCCTAAGTCATAATTAGAAGTTGCGAACAAAAACTGATTTTTACGTAGGAAGTTATCAACTTTTGTCACTTGCTCTGGTAATAGATTACCTTTACATCTGTCTAACAAATCTTTCAGATCACCTCTCAGCTCTTTGGTTAAACCCTGAGGATAAAATGGCGATTTTGGTCTCTCCTCAACAGCTGTCATTTTCCCGATCAGAGTTCCTTGAAAAATCTGTTGCATGTCATTAGTGACATTCATTAAGCAAACTGGTATCTTATCGCTACCTTTAACGAGAGTGCGTCCTACTAGCGCACACCCTTTCTCAATAAATTTTCGTTCTGGTTCCACTAAGTAATCAGCTCCTCCATAGTTATTATTTCCCGTAACATTGGCTGAAATAATTATTTCACTCCTCGGTGGTATGCAAATATTACTGGCTGCAGTGACCCTGTAACAACCTAGTGTGCCTTCCCAGGAAAATGGGCATGTCTCATAATTTAATCGCAGCGAACTCTCTTGAAGATCTATCAGCCCATTGTATTTCTTGAGAAAATCAAGTCCAATAATTCCGTCCACAGAAATATCTGCAACAACTGCATCAATAGTTCTATCTGTCTCACCAGTCTTGAGAGAAAATGTTGCTTTACCATAATGGGACAGAACAGAACCACTAGCATTGAATATTCGCTGTGCGTTCTCCTTGAGCACAGGCTTTTCCTCCTGCAATGTATCAAACAATCTCTTTGAAATAAGAGTAAGGGATGCTCCAGTGTCAATCAAGAGTTTTGCACTGCTCCCATTCACATTTCCCTGGATGAAGATACCTGCTTCCTCGCACAAATTGTTTGCACCAACATTGCCATTGCTTTTAGATTTTCTCTTTCTTTTACGTCTACTGCGCACTTGACATGCGCTTCCGCCATCTGACTTTGATTCATGTCGCCGCATATCCTTTTCTTTGTCTTGAACTTTGTTCTTCAACTTTGGGCAATTCTTTCGAATGTGTCCTTCCTCTGAGCAATAGTAACATTTTACCCTGTTCCGCTTGCCTTCCTTCTGAAAAGAATCTCTGCTGAATCTTGCATTTGCCTTAATCTGCCTCTCCAGATTATCTATTTTATTCTGCATTTTCTGCATCAGCGCTTTTAAATCTCCAGAGTCGGAAGCTTGAGCTCGGGCTTGTCCCTGACTTTCAATAGCGCGCATATGACTTCTTTTCTCTGTCTTATAGTAGGCGTCAAGTTCTACTGCCAGGCGAATAGCTTCGTTTAGATTCTGGGGTCGACTCTGTTTAATGCGTAGTCTCATATCAGACTCTATCAATCCATCAATAAAAGCCTCTTTACCAAGAGTTTCTCTTACTTCTGCCGGTGCAGATGGATATGCCAAATACGTTAATCGGCGCACAGCTTGGCCTAGCTCAGATAGTGTTTCTGATGCCCGTTGACGCCTTTCTTTGAGTTGCGCACGGTACAACTCCGTTTGATTAGGTGGAGCAAATCTCTCTTCAAGTGCTTTCACTAAGAGGTCATATTGTTGTCCCGTTTCTGGCAAAACATTTCCTAATATCCCTTGTGCAGCTCCTCGCAGTGACACTGCTAAATACAACCCCTTTTCCTTATAATTCCAATTGTTGATAGCCGCACACGCATCAAAATGGGATTTATAATCTAGCCAAGAATGAGTTCCATCAAAGGTTGCTGGTTTAATGTTACACTTGGCTGTAGCTTTCTCACTTTGGTCCTTCTTCTCTTTATCAGCAACGTTGACTATCTGTCGGGGAAATGAGCTATCTATCCCTTGGTTTACCTCATTTCCGGAATTTCCATATCGACTCTGTGCATTCGCGGGTATCTGATGAAGCGCATCCACAGGTGTTTGATCCAGCGCATCTGCTGATATCTGCTGCAGCGCATCCGCGGATGTACGCTTCCTTGGAATCGGTAGCTGTGCATTATGCTCTAAAGCAGTTTCTGAAATCTGCGCATTTAATGAAGATCTTGGAGTCTCAAACTTGTTTTGTATCCGACCCTCATGAAATAATTCTGCATCTTTCGTTTGCGCAGGAGGCCTATTATGATACTCTCCTTGCGATGGCATTTCCAATCGAACTTGAAAAGGAGAATGCGCCAGAGTCTCACTCAACATATGGACCGGGTGTGGATGTGCACTTGACAAAATGCTCGGCGTTTTCCAATTTGGCTGTGGCACCATCGTTTCATATTGTTGAGCACGCGCAGCATAATCCCTTGTCGAACTGGGTGCATTTGGTTCTGCAGTCAAATTTCGTTGAGCTGTTTTTCTCCTCATTGTCACACCATCTAGCGCTCCTCCAGGCTGATTTCCTTGTGCGCGTTCACCAGTCAATGACGCAATTCCAGAATCGCGCATTGGTCGAGTTGTTTCAACGGGTGTAGATTGCTGTTCTATTTCAAGACGCAATCTCTCACAACTCCTTTCAAGAAAGGATATCTCTTCGTTGATCATTTCTTCCATCGCACTCATGATTTACAAGGCAAATATAACACAATTAAAAAAAATTATCGATTTAAATTCTATATTACTTTGATTATTTGCCGAATCCCACCGCGCTGCCACCAAATTTATGTAACGTTTTCGGGTTCTTTTATGGGATTCGGCTGTTCTATCTGAACAATTAAATAATAAATCAATTTTCTCAATCACAAATTTAAATTAATAGTATGTACAATTACTCCTTCGTTTCTCGGGAGCGCACGCGCCTTCCAAGGACTGAAGCGCGTCCGCTTCTTACCTTCAGTCAAACCAGAATATCAGGTACTTTATCTAAATAATATATAATCAATCAAAGTCTCGAAAGTCTATTTCAGACACATAAGACTTGATTCAAGGTATTCCTTGCAGTACCTACCACGTTTGACTTCTCTGTATACAACCGTCTTTTCAATTCGGCTGTCAGCAACAGACTAACTAAAACAACCGATTGTCTCCTTATTTATACCTACAACAGGTCACATGATCTGCGGAGAACCTAAAGGAACCAAGAAACCGGAAGTCAGTGCAACTACCGAGAAATGAAAGGATAATATGATCTCGATTACAGTTTTGGCTTCAGTACTAAATTATTTAGTATGTATCACAGTGTTAGTCTACTTTTGTGCCAAGTTATATTGAAATCAGACTAAAATTGTTGGAGGAGTAGCGTTTTAAAGGAATTTCACAGAAATTTCTATCTGAAGTAACCATGGCAACACCGTTCATCAGAATCAAAAACCGATGCACTATATTATGTATCTTAGTGTAGTCTACTTGTGTGCCAAGTTATATTGAAATCAGATCAAAAATGTAGGAGGAGTAGCGTTTTTAAAGAATTTCACAGAAAATCCTATTTTTTGTAACCATGGCAACACCGTTCATAGAAATCAAAAACGGATGCACTATTTTATGTGACTGCGCCCATGGGAAAAGGGTCCTTATGGTAGTTTTTATTCATTTTTAGAATTTTATTGTTTTGGATAGCAGACAGGTAGAACTCTTAAAAAATGAAATTTTATTGTCATCCAGCACTTCTAAGTTACTTGTTTTTGCATTTTAATACTAGCATTTATTTTCGTAAGGAGAATGTTATAGTGTGACGTCAGTGACGTCAAAGATAAAAATGAGGAAATAAATATATTCTGTACAATGTAAAAATAATAAATTTAATATTCAACAAGATAAAAATAATTTCGTTCGATAAATCTTTAAATTTCATATTTGTGAACATGTATACATATAACCATAAATTAATACTGACATACAGCTGAAGCATTTACACAATGTTGTTCACTAATGTTAGATTAACTTTTCTTATATAAGCGGTGAGCTGCATATATGTTCATATGTATGTGCATTAAAATTATTAACAATTATGTTACTCTTATTGTATTGGTCAGAAATGGACAATAATTTCACTTGAAAGATTAAAAATAAACATTCGATGATTTATTCTAATGCAATTATGTAAAAATAAACATTTGATGATTTATTCTAATGCAATTGTTAGGTAAAACCTGTTTTGAGTGGCTAATGCACTGGGGTTTGAAGCAGTAAAACGAGCATCAACGAGCGTGGAAGTTTTTTTATTGTGACGTCAAAATAGAGCGGAGCAAAATCACAATGCTCAGTGACGTATTTCATGTACCAAAATTCAACAAAATAAGACGTGAGCAACAAAGTGCATGGATTGCATTAGAATAGGAATAACTAATCTTCAAATTTGGTATTTGCGACCGTTAATGCTGATTTAACGGTCACAAAGTGAGTTTTACCGGCGACGCCAAATTAGAAGATAGTTATTCCTTAATCTAAAAGAAATTTGCAATTATTATGACGTCAAAGTTGAAGGATAGACAGATACAGCCGGTAAATTGTCCCAGTTTTTTTTTTAAAAGTCATTCCTCAGTTGGAGGTGGGCATACCTCATCCTGATGTAGAGGTCTGAATAAGGGCGAACATTCCTGTACATATACAGTTGCCGATCTCTTGACAATCCAGGGGGAGTGATCAATATTGGTTTAGTCTTAAGGTCCACGATGGCATGCTTCAGAATGGACATCTTTGCTTCTATGGAATCAACACTTTCTTTTACGAAAACATACCAGGGGTATTCATTTGAAAATCGGAAGTGGTGGTACTTTCGTATATTCCGGATAGCCTTGAAATGGCCCGACAGAAATTCCTTCCAGTCTCGCCACTCCCAGGTAACTGTTCCATCCTTTTTGTAGGGAATTGCAACACTGGTTGATGCCGACTTCTCCTCTACCTCAACTAGCTGACTGAATGCATCGACATCACATCGACGAAATAATTTCCTAATGTGTCCAAAGCCACTATCCACGAGGCATCTACAAAATATATATAAAAAAAATACTATCTGTATAAAAATGAATGCAAAAAAATTATAAAATATAAAATAAGTTACCTCGTGTGTCCGGGAATTTGCATTTTTAGCGAGATTGTGTCATGGAAACCCATCATTACTCTCCAACATAGATAAGCTAAAACATACTGGTTTTTATTTTGCCCTGTTTCGAGAAAAAATGGATGATTAGCCACTGTTGCTGACATCCTATTTTTTAAATGCCAATGCGAATCAAAATTTGTAACATTTAAATTTTAACAAAATATCAATTACCACTGCAGTTATCTGCATGTAGAGTACATGACTTCTCTCCAAATCCGTATTCGTTAAGTGTATAATCCAGCATACTTGTACCTGTATTTGAACCGTTGGTCAAACTTTCATCTCGTCCTACAAAAACGAACTTAACGAACGGTTTCGATTTTTAAAGTCTACAATCGTCTATTTGTTGACTTTGATAGAAGGCAGACTAATTAATACCAAAAAAATCTAGCCTTACCTCCTCTGTTGCTGTTTTTGCGTTATTTGTTTTTTCTGACGAGTGTCTTTCATATATTGATCTGTGACAGTGTACAGTTGGTAAGCGTGTAGTTCTTTGACGTAGGTCATCAACGACATTCAGCAAGACCTCGTCATGTTTCCAAGGGACCAAACATCCAGGGTAAAAAAACAATTCTCGAAGATCATAGGTAACAAGTCAAACAAGTCAGTTGATCACGCCCCCTGGATTGTAACAAGTCAAAGTATCAGCTCTTTCTTACATTTATTCTCTAAATATAAACAAGGGGGATAACTCTTAGACTATCCTATACGTGAGCCATCGTACATTAAGAAGTCAACTTGTCAGTTGACATTAAACGGTATATTTATCTGTCTTGATATATTTATCTGTTTTATTGTGATGAAATCTGACATTTCATTGAAAAGAGCACTTTGAGTATGTAGAAATAAATTTAATTTTAAAAGGGAAGGAAATAATTCGAAAAAAAAAATGCAATATAAATAACAAATCTTTAACATCTTTGTTCACTAATAATAATTGATGACATATTTTAATTTTAAAAATTTAATTTCACGCCTCCAACAGATTGCCACACATGTTTTAAAATACGCAGACAGCAAAGATCTTATGTTTTTGACATGATCTTCTTTCATTTTCCATGTCAACGTTAACGGTTAAACGTCATCATTTATGTGTCATCAATTTGAATAAAGTCATGCATATAGATTCAAAGTGGTCATCTCAAAGCCAAAACTCGCGAAGCGATTTATATAAAAGCATAAACTGCCCCGAACCATGTTATATTGTAAAACAATTATAAGTTAAATTAAGCTTTATTCTTATAATTTAATATCAGTATACACAAGATGAAACACACCCTTTCAGCTTGGTTTAAAGGTGGCTTATAGGTCCTTCATGATGGTTTAATGGTTGTCTTTAAGTCACCATTAAGCACCTTTAAGTAACATTTACACCACCATTAAGTTACCATTAAGCCATCTCAAAGTCCTTAATGGGTGTTTAATGTAGCTTAATGGTGGCTTACAGGTCCTTAATGGTAGCTTTTAGACCACCATTAAGTCACCATTAAGCTACCATTAAACCACACTTACAGGTGCTTAATGTCCAAACTCCATTAAGCTACCATTAAGCCACCATTACGCAGTCGAAAATACTGTTTTTATGGGTGAAAAATTATTTTTATAGCGATTTATTATCAAAATTATTAATGTCGAGTTCACACATATCTTGATTCGGTAAAATTAATGAGAAAGAACGAAGCTAAAAAAAAAAACAAAAACCAAAAAAAACAAGCTAATTCAGAGAATTCGTGTCCCCCGCTTAGGGAAAAAGTCGGCTCCCCCTGACTGAATTTGTAGAATTATTAAATGTATACATGTATACTGAAGGAAATAAAATACATGTATGTCAATATGCATATAAAGATTTGATTGCTTATTCTTTATTATGTGTATAGAAGATTTTTTCATATGGAATATTTATCACACTGTAATGATGATTTTATAACCTCATAAATTTTTCATTTCACATGCTGAATACTATCATTTAGGTTAAAAAAAAATTATTTAAAAAAATAAAAAAGAAAGAAAAAAGAACGGTCCGACCGAGATTCGATCCCGGGACCTCTCACATTTGAGGCGAGAGACATAACCACTAGACCACGGAGTCGCTTTACACAGAGCGAAGTATATGCAGAACTGAAGTCACATACATATATATATTCATGTTTTCATGTTCGGTATTCTCAAAATTTTACACAATCCATGGTGTTTGATTTATTTAGCCTTTATTAAACAGTTCTAATAGATGTAATAAGAACATAAAGTCCGCCGAGAATCTGTTTTATACGCAATAACTCGCTTCATGCCCCTGCGCTAAAAATAGCGACATGTAATACTATAAATACTAATAAAACAAACGGGGCGGGGCACTTTGAGAGGGGCGAGAGACGTCCTAGGGAGTTTTGGCATAAAATTACATTGCATCAGCTCAAAATCTTCTTGAAATATCACCCGGAAATGATAGTGTTACACAGAGACAGAATGTATAAATTTACGACCTTGAACTTTGACCTTTTGACCTCAAAATCAATAGGGGTCTTCTTTAGGCCACAGGGAGTTGTTATGTAAAATTTCATTGCAATAGCTCAAATGGTTCTAGAGATATCGTGTGGAAACGAAAGTGTTTTAACAGACAGAATTTGCTTATTTATGACCTTGACCTTTGACCTTTTGACCTCAAAATCAATAGGGGTCTTCTTTAGTCCATAGGGAGTTGCTATGCTAAATTTCATTGCAAAAGCTCAAAGGGTTCTCGAGATATCGTGTGGAAACGAAAGCGTTACAGACAGACAGAAAGACGGACGGACAGACGGACGGACGGACGGACGGACAAACCCAAATTAATATCCCACACTTTTCAAGCGGGGGACAAAAAACCGCCGCATTTAGAGCGCGAACCCATGACCTTTGGTGTAGGTGGCAGTCGCCTTAACCATTAGGCTATCATCGCTCTTGATTATAAATGAAAATATTAAACCTATATTATTCACAAAATTTATTTGGACTTGTAAAAGTATTAATTTTGCTGAACGTTTTCAAAGTCTTGAATTGATTTATTAATCAAAATATAAAAATTTTTATGTATGGGTCTTTTTAAAAGGCTTCTATCACATTAACATTTAACCGTTGAGTTCGGCTTTTAGATTGATGTAATGAATTCTACGCTGTTATTCGAAGATTTATACATGTAAGCATTAAATCATGATTGAATTTAAATTAATTATAGATAAAGCACAAAATCTATCATCGAAAAAGAAAGATAAAAAACAGATTCTACTATTTTTAAATATGCTGCGGATATTAACGGTTTTTTTTGTTTCTACAATTTTAGTGACAATCTGTTACGTTTACAAAAATTTTTTTTAGAATATCAAATTCTGTTTAAGTTCTTCTTGTATCACAATGGGTATCAAAATAATTGCCCTTTTACAATGAATCATGATTTTTAATTTTTTATATTATATGCTTGCGTTAAATTTAAATTTTGTAAAAATAATTGATCATCAAAATCTGTCAGTGTACGTCGTGTATGTATAGTTTCCTGTTAGGTAACCAGGGACGGTGGACACACCTAATTAAGGTCTATTGTCTGACCATTCGGTATACTGTACACAGCTGTTAATCTTACCCCGTTTCCCAATATATATAAATCTGGTCGGTTGTCATGTTTAATCTGATCGGCTGTTCTGAAAATCGATTTTGAAATAACAATCATTGAAGACCGACTAGATTTTGACAGATACTCACCGCTGCATTATATAATTTTTGAAATAACGAATTAACTCAAATTATTCATGATGTAAAAGTCAATCTTTGAAAACTTAACATTTTTATACTGGTAGCCCCCCCCCCCCCCCCAAAAAAAAGACAAGAGATTTTTTTTTTTCATGAGAACATATGATTTTATTTTCCTGTGAATTCTGTAGAATGTTGCTTTTAACACATGAAAAAAAAACCCATTTTTTTTAAAAATAATATATATTTTGTGTTCATTGGTAAAGATAATTTTAAGAACAATTTGATTTTCGGTTGTGAAAAATTAAAATATTTCACAGGGGCTTGCTCCCGGCGTGTAATAATTATTTATTTATAAAAAAAAATCGTATACACTAAATTAATAAAAACAACGCATGTAATAATTATTTATTTCAAATAAAATCATATACGGTAATGATAAAGCATGTCTTGTTTTATTATTACCGTAAATGATTTTTTTTTTTACAATAAATACTTATTAGACACAGGGAGCAAGCCCCTATGGCTATTAGCTAACTTTGTTCTTAGTGCCCGAGTTTATGCGTGTTGACAAAAATGTTATAATAATAGAAATTACGATCGAGACAAAATTATGAGTTAAGATAGATTTTGCGTAAATGATATTGAAATAATTTTAAAAGTTAGTTCAAAGGTTCGATATAAGATGCGTAAAAGTTTAATGAGGTTTGACCATTAAGTAACCATTAAGCTCAGCTTAAAGGTGGCTTAATGGTAGCTTAATGAAGTATGGACATTAAGCACCTGTAAGCTTAATGGTGTTTATTCCATTAAGCACCTATAAGCCACCATTAAGCGATTGCTTAAAGGTGGTGTTTCATCCTGTGGTATACAATGAGACAATTTTTTTCCGGAAAAAGGCTTCAAATTATCATATTTTAAAAATACCATCAAGCGGAATAATACTTTTTTGACGCCACTCATTGTGACGTAGGCAAGTTATGTTATTCAAAATGTATTGAATCTTTTACCCAATCAGATGATGTGTTAAACCTAATATCAAATTATTTAAAAAGAGAGGGAAAAGGTAACACAAATAGAAAGTAAACTTTATTACAAGAAAGATCTGCAAAATAATATCGTACAAACTAATTCCTTTGAAATGCATAAAAATATATAATTTTAAATGTCAGATATTCGCATAATTGTGTTCTGACCCTGGCATATCAATGATTGCTATGTATATTCATACTTTCTGTTTTACACAATATCTAACTATGCTTTAAATGACCATATGTGATTTGTATCATTTAATATATATATTTCTAAATGAATATAAACATGATGTGTAAAATGAATAGAATTTAAAAATAGACCTGTTACATATACTACTTATAAAATATTAAAAATGGCCAAAAGTACTTAAAGATATTTGACAAATTGTAATGTTCATTAGTAAGAAACAGTAAAATTTATATCGAAATTCAAAAAAGAAATTTAAGAAACGTCGTTCAACTTTTTAAAAAGTACAATTTATATCATTATTTTTTAATGCACACAATTATTCTTACAAGGACAAGGCTTGAAGT